AATATTAGTTTATTGGAAAATATCTTTTAAAATGAGTTGTGCAGGGAGGGGAGGGGCCTCAGGGGTTTGTGGTCTCAGGTAACATGGACCTGTAGTGACCTGCTCACTGCCATGTTGGGCTGGGTTTTAGGGTATGAAGGGAAGAACCCAAGATCAGGTGGTTGGAGCCTGATATGCCTACAGAGCAGTCCTAACATGTTCCTAGCACCCATGGGTACCGCTGGCTGAGACTGCCCTGCCTTGGAGGCTAGGGGTCCATTGGCCGGCTGGGTGGAGAGAAGCGGGTCTCCCACACTCCCACCCCAGGAGGACTCTGCCAGGAGGGGAGGGGGAAGGGAGGGAAGAGGAGGAAAACCAGAGAGGAATCATCAAAGTGAGCTGCACCCAGTGCCCGAGAGGAGAATCAGAGGAAAACAGTCATTTCCTACACCCAGGCTGAACTCCATCAACTTCCCTCCCCGGGGAGGGGAGGGCACCATGGTTGTGTCACAACCAGCTGGGAAGTGGCCCCCAGGGACTATTTTACTCCTTAGGAGGTGATCTCTCCCTCCTCATCCAGCCACTTTTATGTTTCTAAATCTCGTAAGCCTGGGCGCCTCTGCCTGTGTGTCGGGAATTCCTAAATCTTCTTGCACCTGCCCTGTTCCCCCAAACTATGACATGCTCTTCCTAGCTGCTTCTCCCTCCTGAATCATGCTCCCTCCTGTGTGTCCAGTATGTCCCATGGCTCTCAAACCGTCTCACTTCCCAAACCACCCACCCCTTTATTTAACACCATGACCCGATCTGATCCCTCCCTTCCCTGAACATCTGTTTGCAAGGCCAGGCAAGCGTTTCTTTTCATCCCCAGTCCCTACCCGGCCCCCACAACGTTCGTTTCCTCCGCTCATTTACAAGGTCAGTGAAGGCAGGGAAGAGCCTTAAGGGCTGCTGTTTCTCCCACCGACTTGGAAACATAGTAAATTCTTAGTAAATATTCATTGGTAGGTTGATGGTTGGAATGAGGAGATCTAGACCAAGGTAGGGATTGTCTGTGCCAAATCAGAAGTCCAGGAAGTATTTTCATCTCCCCCAACTGTTTTCAACAAAGGTCCCCTCTGGCCCTCGGCCTTGGTGGAAAGGGTGGGGCAGGGGGGTCAGAGGGGCTGAAGGAGACGGAAGGTAACGTGGTTGTGAGATGTTTCATCCTGACCCCAGAAGGCCCAGGCTGCAGAGCTGTGTCCCCACACCCTCCTTCGGAGAAGATGCAGCTGTGCTCAGAGTGCTGGGCAAAGCAATGAGGTCAGGTTCCATCACAGCCAGTGCGATTCATAGGTGAGCTCATCCTTCTGGATTTACAGCAACAGTCGAGTCATTACCGAAATTGCAGTTATGAACCCACCTACCTGCTGGGAAGAGAATTTGGGATAAATGATGAACTTCAAGGACTTTCTGCCAGGAAACTGAAGAGGTAACCATGACCACCCGAGGGCTCTTCATCTTGAGCAGGGAGCTCCGTGCTCACGGATTGGATGTGCAGGTCTGCGTCCCGTGCAACCTTCCCTTTGTCTTTTTTGCTTTCTTTGTCGAATGGGAGACAGAACTAGCTCAGGAATCTGGAGCTTCACGGGCCCAGGGTTCAGCTGTTTTCAGTTCCAGAGCAATTAACTGAGGGCGGCTTGGGCACAGCCGTTGGGTTGTCTGCAGAATGGAAAACGGAAACCTCCTCTAGCTCCGTGGCAGGGAAACAGAAAGGAAGGGAAGGTTTGCGGAGGGTCTCTGCACAATCCCCATGATGGTTATCATGTGGCCATGTCCCGGCTCATTCCTACACGGTGCCGCTGAGGGCCAGGCTGGGGATTCATCCATCCATACACTCGTTTTTGTCCCTTGAAGAACGGCCGTCCCCACACCCACACGCCCACCTGGCAGCTGCCCTGGGGCTTGAGCAGCCCCAGGTGAAACAACAAGCCTCACCCCAGCTGAGAGTTCTCCAGACCAGAGAACCCCCGCTGGTGGGCTGGGTGGGCGGCGTCCCACGGGGATGAAGGAGTGTGCTGAGAAACAGATGTTCAGGCAGACATCCCTCCATTGTCTGGTTGCACACCACTGCCCCTCCCAACCCTCGCCCATCTCCTGCCCCACACCGGCCCAGCCCTGGACGTGTGAGAAAGTTACATCAGGGCCTAAGTTGGTGAGACGGGGGTGAGGGTGGGTGCTGGGAGCTGAGGTGGTGCTGCCCACGTGTGAGCTGCCACTGTACCTGCCCCCCGAGCTCCACTAAACAACCGGGAGGCTGGGGAAGCGCTGATTCTGGCTCCTCAGAGGGCACTGTGTTTTGACGAACTAGGTCAGCTGCTGCAGGCCCTGGTTAGCGAGGGGATCAGCCTGGACAAGCGAAGCCACACTCTGTTCTGAGCTGGGCCTCTTGCTCTAGCCATGCCTCCAGGACGCCTTCCAGGCCTTCTCCTCCACCCCCTCGGTGCTTTTCCCCTTTCCTTCCCCCAGGGGCTTTTCTGGGCCTTCTCACTGAGCTCTCTCAGGTGGGGAACCTTTTCTTCTCTTGTTTCTCTTTTCCCTGACCCTTTACCTCCAGGCCTTGCTGAGGAATAGCAGCTCTTAGATGCCCCCATATGAAACCTAACTTCCAAAAGACACAAAAAAAGACAGTACTTACTTTTCCTTACTGCCTAGCAATCCCTGTGTTAAGTGGAACTGAGCACTAACATTTACTGAGCGCTGGTCACGCGCGGAGCACTGATCTTAGGGCCTCACCTGCTATTGCAGGTGTGTGGCATGCCGCCCAAATCCCCTCTTTGGGACCGAGGCCCTCATCCCCAGTGCAGTCTCTTTAGGTGTTTTCCCCTCAACGGAGAGAGAGAGAGAGTTGCCTTGTTTAATATAAGGCTGTCTCTTGGGGCAACGGGTTCCAATGCAAGGCCGATGTGGGGGTATCTGAACCCTTGCTTCAGTGGGGGACAGCTTCAAGGGACTGTTCCACCCGTGGCGTTCGCCTCCTCCCTCTGCCCCACCCAGCCCCCCTCACTCCCTCTGAGTTCTGAGAACTCTCCCCAGCAAGTCTCTGCCTCAGAGGAACTGAATTTCCTGTTTCCTGGGAAACGACAACTAAGAATTAGCTTATTTACACCTCACACCCACCTTATGAAATACACATGTCACGTTCTCATCTTAGAGACGAGGAAAGCGAGGCCTGGGAAGGTTAAGAGGCTTGCCCGAGGAAGGTCTTCCATCAGTAAATGGTGGAGCCATGATCTGCAGCCAGGATCTGGCTCTAAACTCCACACTGGCAACCTCGCAAGCAACCTCTTCATGGCGACCCCAGAGGGAGCTGAGGGACAAGGGGGGCAGGGGAGGAGGGGGGACGGTTGTATCCCCTTTATGGGAAGGTGAGGGGAGAGGCAGGGGAAGCATTGATCACCTTTATCTCGGAGGCTAGGACACTGAATCAGCAGCTCTTATACCCAGGATCACTCATCAGTGACAGGTGGTGAGATTCCCCCCCCCCCCCTTTTTTTTTTTTGAGGAGGAAGCAGTGGCAAAAGCATAGTAAATCCATTCCTGTGCAGCTTGGAGTTATTTAACCTTAGTAAGGTGGCGAGTACATAGATGCTCAATCAGTCCTCCCCTCCCTCCATCTGTCGGCTATTTCCAACTCTAGGATCTCAGGCAAGTCTCTTTAACTTCCTGACTCGGTATCTTCATTTATAAAAAGGAGGTGATGATGAGATGTTGGTAAAGGGCTCCCTTAGCCCCGTGGCCATCCGGCTAGGAGCACAGTAAGTGGTAGTGACCAGTATAATCAGGATGCTCTCCTGCCCGGGGTTGCATGTCAGGGCCCAACAGGCTCCGGCGGTGATCCACACCATGTGTGCCTCCCAGACCCGTCTCCCCACTGCGGGAGTCCTCCACCACTGCGTTGGTTTCCAGCTTTTACCAGAGACCAGCGGGTTTTTTCCCTCCGAACTGGGTGTGCGCGTCTCATCTTCCTGTGACTTCTCTGCCCGGAGCAAGGCCGCCCCGTGTGACCCCCCGCCCCCCACCCCCGTGTGAAGGTTGCACGCGGG